CAGTACTTTGAATTATGCCAGTACTACATTGTAAAACAGAGTTGTATTTTTTGATATTTAACAATGCTTTACACTTTAAATGCCACTTCTGAGGAATGGACCTGGTGTAACACACTTGAATATGTGTGATGCCAAACTTTTTAAAATAAAATATAAATTATGCTTATTTATTATTTTCTTTAGTTTAATCTTGGTCATGTTTTGGTGTGTATTTTTAATTTTCTTCTTAAAGTAACACTTTGGCATGAATATTACTGCAGGTTTTTGATGAATATAATGAATGTATGGAATTCAACTGAATTTGCATGGTCTTAAGAATTTTTTCTGTGTGTATAAATTTAGCTGCTATTAACAGAAGAGAGAACTTTCTGTGAGTAGCCATGTGTGTTGATCAGATACAGTTTTTCTGAGATCTTCAATTAATCTCACTTTAAAAATGACCAAAACATGTCTTTCTTGAATTATCTTTGAATAAAAGTTTGTATATTATTTGTTTCACAGTGTCCTTGATTTTTATCTACTTAGTTTTGTGTTAAGAAAGTTTTGTGTTATTTTTTGCTCCTTTATAAAGTTTGTATTTTTTGACTTCACAAATCTGTATTTTTAATTTGTTGTCAAAGTGACCTGACCTATGAGACAAGACTATTAAATGAATAACTGAAGTCAATAAAAATGGTTCTCTTTCCAGGAAAAGTAACCTCAACTATCAAAGAAAGGTCTGTCAGGGATTGGTAAGATTTATACTTTTTATATTTCTGCGTCCCTGATATGGGGAAGGACATAAGAATAAAACAAGTAGCATTAGACCAAAAAGTCAAAGAAAAAATACCTACTCCAAAGTAACTGAGAAATAAACTGGTTTTGATGCCACATAAAAAGAATTGAGGAAACAGGAGTAGAGGAGTTGGGTAGGCAGCTGAGGTGGTGGACACAGCAGAAGAAGGGAAGAGGGGGAAGGAGGAGGTGTGGGATATTGTGACCATTCCTCAGGAATTTAAAAAGTTGGCTTGAGCTGTTGCTGGAACAGTTGATAATCAAGAGGAAAGATCGTTATGATAACATTTCAATTCAGATTTCAACATGGAACCATATTTAATATTTAGTTGAACTTTCCATTATAAATGAATTTAATCAGAAAAAGCTTATGCTCAGTTGATGAAAACATGAATTTCTGCCTTAGTGTGACCTTAGAGACGTCATCAACAAACATTTTGAAGTTCTAATGAACTTGGAGTACTGTTGGCTGTTTCTGAGAGAGGCGTGAAGAAAAATGTGTGAGGTCTCTGTCCTTCCTGATCACTTCCAAACACTAATGTTCCATGAAACTGTATAAATCTATCAAAGATTTATCTGAAACATTTTAAAGCTTTTCTTAAAATATAATCTCACTCTATTAAAGTAACAAAGTCTTAACTACTTAGCTTGTCAAGTACCTCTGTCTTTGCTTTCTTAATCTTTGAAGCTTTAATAGCTATGCTATAGTTTGCCAAGGTTTGTCAGTAGCTGGATTCACATCTATGATTTCAGAGGCTTTAGACATACCTCCTTCCCCTATGCCAATGTTTGTATTTCCAGTTTGAGGTTTTTTTTAAAAGGCATATGGAAGTGTTCTCAGCCTGTATGGAAGTGTTCCACTGCTGTATGAAAAATAAGTTAAGGCTGAGAAGTGTCTTAGAAATCCTGACAAGAAAGCAGCCCCAGGTTTGAGCAGAGTTCAAGGCTGGATCCACATACTTCCGTTGTGAAGCAACTCTTCTGCCTGCTCTGTTTGGATCTATGTCTCCTTGGCTGAAGCAGTGATGGCTAGGGTTAAGGTCAATGGTGCATGTACTTTCAGAAGACTATCAGTTCTCTCCCTGTTTCTGATGCAGTTAGTTCTGGTATTTATTGTCTCTTTATTGTTCCTTATAGCATGAAGACCCAGGTATTTATAATCGTAACTGCTGGTGAGCTATGAGACTCTTTTTATCAGGTGTAAAACGTCACATGATATTATATAGCAGTGTGCTGACACCGTCTTGTTTCAGTTTCGTCTTAAGCAAATTGCCTCCTACTGACTTGCCTCATTTTGGAGAGAAGCCTACATTGGAGAATAGAACACACTTTGAGTCAAGATTCTGGGGTTTTAATCATGGCTTTTAAGGAAAAAAGCAGTGTGGTGTGTTGGAAAGCCCATGGGCATAGAAACAAAAGGGCTCTGAGTTCAATTTCTAGCTGTGACTTTTAACACATTACTTATTTTATGACCCTTATTTTGTTTTTTTTAAAATGGCAATAGTGGTGTCTGTGTCACAAGGTTATTGCTGTGTTTGAAAGAAATGATGCATATTAATATACTAGAAATTCAGAGGGCTCTCAATAAACTACAGCTGTTGTTTCCTGAGCCTCCTGTTAATCTTCATTGTAGGGAAATAAGTGAGTTGGGGTGTTGCATTAGCATTTCTTTCCAGCTCTAAGTCTTTACGGTTTAAAATAATCTGACCCCTCCATATACCTATACGTGCTCTGATTGAGAAATGTAATACTATGGTAGAATTCTAAAACAGAAATAATTACTGACATTTACTGATCACATCTTGTATGGCAGATACTGTGCAAAGGGCTTTACATACATTATGTAATCATAAAGAACTCTTAGAGGTGTAGGTATTATTATAATACTCATTTTACAGAAGTACCACATAAGACAGAGAAGTAACTTGTCCACTGCTAATAAAATGCCAAACCTAGTAAGTCTGGCCCAGTAGTGTGTGCTATTGATGCTTACCTGATAGAGGATGGCAGGTTTGGGCAGAGGGGAAAGTTGGGTGGCAATGCAGTCATCACACAACCAATAGGACGGGGAGCTCAGGAGCTGCGATGGCCAAGAAAAGTAGCTCTACATTGGGGTAAGGGGTTGGGCCTTTATACTCCTGTATCAACCATACTTGACTTGAGCTATTCCCCAGAAAGCAGGTATACCCGTGGGGAGAGGTGCTTCTCTTTGGCAGTACTCAGCAGGAGGAATGCCTGCTTACATCTTGAAGAGGGGAATCTGGGTGGTGTGCCACAGCATCCACTATAGGACAGACAGATTCATATACTCACTGCACAGTATACACTGAGACAGCAGGGTTCGCAGCAGAGAAAGTTTAGTGATGGCAGAGTGCCAAGAGGAGTTCTGGGCTGGGGTTTTTAAGGGGGTCTTGGAGGGCAAGGGGCTGGAAAATTGGGATCGTTAATTGGCTGGGGGACGGGGGATGAAATAGGATGTGGGAACAGCATTCTTTGGTGAGTCAGCTCCTTGTGGTCCTTCAGACCAGCTGAGTTTCATCTGTGTGAAATACCTGAAAGATTATCTCAAAGCACAAACTTAGCGTTTCATAATATTCAAGTTATTGTCTATAGAGCAGCTTCAGGGGGAACTATAACCTTGTAACAAGCTCTATATGAATCTGAAGCCATAGGCAAACAACTGTGAGGGAAGGGGTCAGATAGCAAGCTGACCTAATGTGCAAGTTGTTGTCTACTGAACAGTTAGGGGGAGCTATATAACCTTGTAACAGGGTTTACATGATTCTGAAGCAGCAGGCAAACAGCTATGAGGAAGGGGTCAGACAGCAACCTGATATAATGAGTAATGCTCAGTGTGCTGCAAGCTTGGTTTATTTTCGTTCCCCCCACCCCCTTCTTCCCTGATTAATTTTATAAAGGATATAGGGGCGGTTTCTGACCCCACTCTAACAGCATCCTAAAAACAGGGCTCTGACTAAGAGACAGATCCCATTTCTTTTCATTTGACGTGACCTTTGTCATGATACTTTACAAAAAAATGTGTTTGCCAAACATGAAGGATAGATGAATGAGTACGGGTCACACTGAACCTAAAAAAGACACTTTTCAAGAGGGAGCTTCCTCAAGGAGATAGTACTTGAATTGATGGGGCGGAGTGAAGATGGCTGATTATTCCAGGCAGAAGGCCAGTTTGAGCAAAAACATGGAGGAGTTAATAGTATTCTGTTTTCAGAAGCTGTATAGATTTCACACTATGTATATATATTCAAAACATGATGTGTGCACCGTAAGCACAATTTTTATTTGTGAAGTATACCTTAATAAAGCTGGAGGAAAAAAGGCCTTCACTAGCCCAAATGATGCCTCTATGCATTTTTTTAAAGGCATCATTTAAGTGAAACTTTCAGTATATTACCACATCTGTACACAGTTTTATTATACCCCAGTACACAGTATTTTAATGTTGAGAGATGGCGTAAAATGAGCTTAGAGCTGCAAAGAACTGTGTCAAGCCCCGCCCCCGAGGGCTTAGAGTCAAGCACAGCAGTTGCAACACCTGGATGTTCTCAGCCCATGTAGCGAGGTCAAGGTCTTAACGCCCTGGGAGCCGAAATCTCCCTTGATGTCCAATCTTTTTAAATCTCTACTTCTCATCTGCAAAATGACGATAATCGCATTTGAAATTCTCCGTTTTCAAAATACAAGGATTTATTAAAGGATACGTAGGCTGGGGAAATAAGGGAGACGAAAGATCTAAATCTAAAAGGACAGACCAGAGAAAGGCAAGGGTGTCTAGAAACACAAAACAGTCAATATAGATTTTGAGACTCATTTACACTCTTCTTCCCGGGTTTGGGAGCTTCACATTTGAAATAAAAGTTCTGGGACGGCTGCTGCCGCGAGCCTCTGTTCCCTGCACAGCGCAGGCGCTAACTAAGAATCCGCTGGGGACCGCAGTTGCCAAGACGACTCTGCGCGGCAGGGCGGGGCGGTGGTCCGTCTGTGCCCTCCCCCTCACGCCGTCACGCGCTTTCACGCTTTCCCGCCTCCAGGCGGGCCGCGGAGTCGGCCATTGGCTGGACCTGCAGGTCTCACTATCCTCACTCCATCCGCGAAACCAATGGCTGGGATCGCCAGGGGCTCGTTTGCGTGAGTCACACGAGGCCGGCAGCAGCATAGACCAATCGGCGCGCCGAGAAGGCGGGGCGGGAGCCGTCGCAGGCCAATAACGACAGGAAGGACCGGCCAGGTCCACCCGGTTCCACCCCCAAGCCGGGCGAGGCAGGTTCTGAGGTCGCAACACCTGGCCGATCTTGGGTGTCGGTGGCCCGCAGTTATCTCGCGGCCGTTCTGGTGAGGCGGCCAGAGGAGTGGCTCGTGAGCGAGGCAAAGTGAGCAGGCGGGCTCCCACCTGGTGCTCCGTGAGATCTAGGGGAGCGGGGTCGGGGAGCGGATGCGCGCGCTGGGCGGGACGCGGGCTGTGGTACCCGAGAAGGGGCGGAGGGAGACTGGAGTGAAAGTGGGCCTGGGAAAAGGTGGATGCTAGAAAGGAGGGAAACGGATGAAAACGGAGTGAAATTGTTAAGTGATGGAACTGCATGTTTCTTACCTTTAAAGAGTGTTGTCTTCGGGAGACGGGACGTAGAAGACAGTTAAGCAGCACAGGGTGATAGAGTGCTGAAAGTTATACACAAGCAGGAAACACGAGAAGGAGGTAAGATTAATGATTTTAATAAGAGTAAGATGTAATATACGTTGGGAGTAGTGGGGTTGGGAAAGGCGTGCTAGAGGAGGTTACTGAAGGATGACTGAGGAGGTTACTGAAGGATGACTGAGGAGTTAGATGGGAGGACATCACCTATAAAGGAACGATATTTCCGTGAGCAGAGTGACATGAGCCGTAGCAACCATGAATGATCAGATAGTGCAAAAATGTGAAGTGTGGGGTGGCGAGAGTATAAGAAATGAAGAGTGAAAAAGTCAAGAAGGGCCTCATGTGCATCGCAGTGGGTTTGATCTTTATCCGTAGGGAGTGAACTCCCTTGAACTTTGAGTGTTGTAAGGAGGTTATCTCTGATGTTTAGATAGATCCTGGCATTGCATCTTAAAGATCGAGTTTAAGAAGGGCAAGGTTGGAGGCAGGGCAGGTCCAGAAAATAAAGGAGGTGGTGAAATCTGGGTTAAAGTGACAAAGAACAGAGACTGGCTGACAGCTAAACTTCAAGGTTTCTGAGAATCCACGAATAACTAAATTTATCTACTCAGCCTCCTCCAGAGCAGGCTTCCAGTCATGTAGGTTGACCAGGAGTGAGAAAAGGAAAAGGAAATTCAATTCTCCAAGACCTTGTTTCCCCTCTCCGCTTTAATTCCACTTTGTTTTCGTTCAGTCCCTCTCTCCATTGTGGAAAGTAGATTCCTGAATGTTAACTAAACCAAGTATCTCTACCTTGGGTGAGAGTTTGAAGACTTAAGGCAGTAGAGATGGGAGAGACTTAAAACATTATGTCTGATAATTAGACATTAAAGGAGGTATTTGGGCAGGAGTTGTGAGGAGCACGTACCGAACCTTTGCACCTGTTGAGTGAGTTCATATGCCTCTGAACTCTCTGATTGGATATGGCCAGTAAACTTGGATAATCAGATCCTGGAGTTTAGGGAAGAGGGCTAGAGATAGACGGGTTGGATATCAGCATATTTTAAAATCAGAAAATAGTTAAGATCACCCAAGAAAATCTGGAATAGTTAGGAAGGAGTAAGGAAGGCATTATTAGGAAATTTCCAACTTCAATTCTCATATTCTGTCTAATCTCCTGGTTGAGTCTTTGTAGTTGCTGTTCTCTCTATGCAAAACACCTCCCTTGACCCCCTCTCTCTCACTCTGCTGTTTCAATCTGTCACCTCCCTCTCTTGTTCTAGGTATCAGTTTAGATTGCACCTTTCTCTAGAAGTTCAGAGCACTGTATATTCCTCCCTTTATTGTTTTATCACATAATTTTTGATGATTTGGACACTAGTTGTTATTCCTCAGTAAATTTTATGTTTCTTGAACTCAGGGGTAAGGGCAGCAGCTAGCACAATGAATGCACAATATTTTTCAGAGTGAATGGATATGAGTTCCAGGGACCAAGGAAAGGCAGATTAGTCAAGTAAAACAAACTCCACAAAAAGACTTATTGGATTTGACAGCTGGAGATCCTTAGTGATTTTAATAAGAGTAAGTTCAGTGCAGTGATGACAATAGAATGCAGATTGCAGTTGCTAGGATGTAAACAGGAAATAAAGACAAGTCATGTGTCTGAAAAAGGAATACCTTTTTCAGAAGGCTTAGGTAAACTATAGGAATTCTTCTTGTACTCTAATACTTATTGTGGGTTTTATTTATAATTGTAGTATAGTATAATGGATGAATGCCTGGGCTTCCCCACTTAGCATTTGTGTGCCTTTGGGCAAGTTGCTTAATCTTTCTAAACCTCAGTTTTTAAATCTATTTTAAAATGGGGATAAAATGATACCTACCTCACGAAGGTGTGGTAAGGATTAAAGTTAAAATGTAGAGAGCATGTAGCATGCTTTGAACACAGTTCTTGACACAGAAAGTGCCTAATAATTGTTGGCTTCTTATAGCTATTACATGCCAGGTCCTGTGCTAAGAGCTTTATTACATTATCTCTTGGACTCATTGGAAGACCTACTGTTTTAATTTTTGCTGATGCTGAAACCCATCACAGAGAGGTTACCTAATTTGCCCAAGGTCACAGGACAGGGCTAGTAAGTGGTGGTGTTTGTTCATTGTCAAATTTGCTAATCACCTTGAGAAAAATTAAAATTAGATGGTTGTCTTATTTTAGAACTTAGAAGATGATTGAAGACACTTTGGTGTCATTGGGGAGCCAGATTGCGGTTAGCCCAGTGAGTTGTGTAGGTGAGTTAAGCAATCTTTTTTTTTTTTTTGAGACCGAGTCTCAGTCTTCCAGGCTGGAGTGCAGTGGCGCCATCTCAGCTGACTGCAACCTCCACCTCCCAGGTTCAAGCAGTTCTCTTGCCTCAGCCTTCTCAGTAGCTGGGATTACAGGTGTGTGCCACCACACCTGACTAATTTTTGTAGTTTTAGTAGAGACGAGCTTTCATGATGATGTTGGTCAGGCTGGTCTTGAACTTCTGAACTTGTGATCCACCCATCTCGGCCTCCCGATGTGCTGGAATTACAGGCGTGAGCCAGCTCACCCAGCCTAATTAAGCAATCTTTGTGTAGAATTCTTCTTTGAGAAAGAAGTTGGTTGGTTCAAAGAAAGATAAATGGGACAGGGGCTTGGAAGAAGTAATGGAGGTTAGGGAGGTGCTTATCAAGAAAGGAAGATGTAGGCTGGGCACAGTAGCTCACATTTGTAATCCCAACACGTTGGGAGGCTGAGATGGGAGGATCACTTGAGCCTAGGAGTTTAAGACCAGTCTGGGCAACATCCCTGTCTCCATGAAAAATAAAAGTAAAAAAAAGTAGCCAGGCGTAGTGGCGTGTGCCTGTGGTCCCAGCTATGAGAGGCTGAGGTGGGAGGATTGCTTGAGCCTGGGAAATTGAGGCTGCAGTGAGTCATAATTATGCCACTGCACTCCAACTTGGGTGACAGAACAAAAAAGAAAGAAAGAAAGACAGATGTGAATGTGTTTTTTTAGACTTGAGGGGATGGATTCCGTGCAAGGGAGAAGGATGAAAGATGAGAAAGGATAAGTGATGGACAAGTTCTTGAGGTAAGATAACAAAAGAAGACTGATCAGTTTTGGAGGAAAGAATGAATGAGCAAAGAAATTTTGAGGCTTCTAATGACACAGAATGGAACATTATCGTCACTGTGGTGTGTCGTTTGAGATGAGTATGACAGAAGAAGGAGGACTTGAAGTGAATCAGAGGCCTGAAGAAGTTGGCTAGGTTCTCAATATTTCTTCTGTAGCATGGGATAAAAAGGTCAATTTGAGAAGTGTTGGGGAGGGGACTTTTATTTACGATTTAGAACTCTTCTGAGACTTTAAAATACTCATTTTTCAAGTGGTCCCGCAAAATTCCTAAACTAGAAGCAGCAGTGGTGAGCGTTTTTAGGAAAGTGGCTCTTGAAAAGTTTCTCTATTTTTTGGTTGGTGACCTATTGAGCTATTGAGCTTATTTATTATGTAAGTAGAACATGCTCATTGAAAATGTTAAAATTGTGCAAAAGACATAAAGTCAGATTTTTTTCTCTCTTCCATTACACTATCTCCTGCCCCTCCACACACCTCTGTTTTCCTAGAATTCACCTTTGTATCCATATGTACATTTTCTGTTTGTTTGTGTCTCTGTATGTATATATGCATAGAAGTGCATAAATAAAATCCATATTTTTTTCAGAAAACCTAAGTGGGGCTCTTGCTATACATACTTGTAACCTGTTATTTAGATTAACGCTCTTAGATATCTTTCTATGTAGAGCATGTAGATCTTCCTCGTTCTTTTAAATGGCTGTATAATTGTCTATGGAAGGACTTAATTTATTTAACTCATCTCTTGTTGATGGCTTATTTGTGTTTTACTTTTACTTTTTTCTCTTTGCTTTTGCTATTACAAGCAGTGCTTCCTTCCATCTTAGTGTATCTGTCTTTGTACCCTTGAATGAGAAAATTGCTGGGTCAAAGGATGTATTCATTTTGAATTATGATAGGTGTTGCTAATTTTTCCTCCAATGATGCAGTGATGTATCCCCCCCCAACAATATATGGTCATGCCCGTTTTCTCACCTTCTTACCAGTACTGGGCACTGGGCAGTAATAAACTTTTAAAGATCTGCTCCTCAGGCTAAAAGTATCTCTTTGCTTTAGGGTGCATTTCCTCATTTGAATGAAGTGAAGATTGTTCCTTGTTTAGTGACCTTTTGCCTTTGTTATTCTGAGAACTGCTTGTGAATGGCATTTGTCATTTTTCTATTGTGTTTTTAGCTTTTTTTTGAAGCATACTTTATAGGCCTTTATTATAAAATGTTAGAAATATTTTTCCCAGTTAGTCATTTTATCTTTGACTTTGTTTATGACTGTTTTTCTGCTCCCCAGCAATAAGTATTTAATTTTCATGTACTCATATTTGGCAGACTTTTTCTTGATAGGCTCTTTTGACTTTAAGTAATACTTCTAAGCCCAGCTATTTCTCGTTTAAATTAGAAGCTTTTCCATGAGAACCACACTAATGATTTCTTTAAATACGTATTGAAAAAAATTTTCCCCTATTGTTTTTTCAGCTACTGTTCTTAAATGGAAATGGTGATGATATCCAGCAAATTCTTTTAAATGGTGTAAAGCCTGAGTAATTGGTACTCCGTTAGTGTTATCATTGTACAAACGATCAGAGGATGCATTTTTTAACTGTTTTATTTTTTTAAGCTCATTGTTTAACTTATTTGTTATATATATTCATTTCTACAGAATTATAAGGCTGTCTGCAGAGATTTGAAAAATGGCAACAAATGAAAGTGTCAGCATCTTTAGTTCAGCATCCTTGGCTGTGGAATATGTAGATTCACTTTTACCTGAGAATCCTTTGCAAGAACCATTTAAAAATGCTTGGAACTATATGTTGAATAATTATACAAAGTTCCAGATTGCAACATGGGGATCCCTTATAGTTCATGAAGCCATTTATTTCTTGTTCTGTGTACCTGGATTTTTATTTCAATTTATACCTTATATGAAAAAATACAAAATTCAAAAGGTGAGTATAAGGGACTAGAAATAGCATATTATCATTAATATTGCTGAATATTTTAAAAGTAAATACAGCTTTGTTTTGAGAGGCTAAATCAGTGATATCCAATAGAAATAAAATGAAGCCACATATGTAATTTTAATTTTCTGGTACAATACATAGAAAAGGTAAAAAGAAATAAGGAAATTCATTTCACGATGTGTATTATTTAACTCAATAATTATAAACTATGCCTGGGTGCAGAGTTCATTCCTGAAGTTCCAGCACTTTGGGAGAACAAGGGAGGAGGGTTGCTTGAGGCCAGTAGTTCAAGACCATCCTGGGCAACACAGCAAGACCCTGTCTCTACAAAAATATCCAGGCATGGTAGTGCACACCTGTAGTCCTCGCTACTTATGAGGCTGAAGCAGAAGGATTGCACCACTGTACTCTAGCATTGGCGATGGACTGAGACCTTGTCTTAAAAAAAAAAAGACATAAACTGTTTTTTCAACCAGTAATCAAAATCTAAAAAATTTGTAATGAGATATTTCATAACTCTTTGCAATCCCGTATGTATTTTATATTAACTTTAGCCTGTCTCAATTTAGACCAGCCGTTTTTAAAGTGTTTCGTAGCCGTGTGTTACTAGTTGCTCCTGAATTGAACAGCACAGTCCTAAGTCATTATTGATAATATTTCAAGAATAGTTTGTTAAGTTGGCCATTAAGTAGATGTGATGTTTATCTAACTTCAGTTTATAAATCTTAATTATCTAAGCTAGCTGGAAAGGAAAGGGATGGTGATTCCTGCATATTTTGCAGTTCACCCAAACTCCTGATGTTCCAGCAAATCTAAGTGACTTAATACCCTAAGACCTTGGATCAGGGCTATTCAAGATGTTTTTTCTCTAAATATACAGTAGATCGTTTGGCCGCATTCATATTATCCCAAATAAGGAGGTGAAGCTCCTGGTTTCTGGATATTTGCTTCATTGCACTAAAGGTCAAGAGGTTGCTACATACGTGACAAGGTGAAATCTAGTATGTTGCCTATGAGCCTGACCTGAGAATTTGGAGAAGCTTCTTAGAAAGATGAATTATTTGTCAGCATTTGGTAAACTGATGATAGTTTCTAGTGTTTGGTGTTTACTTTTCATAAAAGGTCATTCCAAACTAAAACTTAAGGGCATGCAGTTTTGGTAGAAAGTAGACCATTGAGCGTATTCATCTATGGAAAGTAATTTACATTCACTCAGTACAGTTCATCCTCCATATCCATGGGTTATGTATCCATGAATCCAACCAACTGCAGATCAGAAATATTCAGGGGAAAAAAATTGTGTCTGTACTGACATGTACAGTCTTTTTTCCTTGTCATTATTCAAAATAATAGCTATTTATGGAGCATTTGCATTTTATTAAGTATTATAAGTACTGTAGAGATGATTTTAAATATAAGGGAGGACATGTGTAGGTTAAGTCAAATAGCATGTCATTTAATATCAGGCACTTGAGCTTCTTCAGATTTTGGTATCTGCAGAAAGTCCAGAACCAATCCCCCAAGGATACTAAGGCACATGTTGGATGGTGATCTGTACACATTCTCTGTTAATCATTTTGTTAGCTTCACAGCCTTTCCCAGTGAGTCTCACTTTAAGAAGGTATTAATATTAATCTTCTCTGGGGATAATGTAGGGGTCAGATGACTGCGGACTCTAGGGCAAAGGTGAAGGAAATAAAAAATAATGTAATCCAAAAGAGAGTACTCTGTTGACTTCAATTAAAGTCACAGAAGTTCCAAAGTGTGTTTTAGAAAAGCACCTGCTTTGAAAGGCAGAATTAAGTTTGTATGTCAACGTTCTAATGCACCTTTAGGGTGATTATGGTTGCCATGTGTCCGTCACCCAATGATTTATTTATAGGGCTGATTCATTGTATGGCTGGCCAGGCACAAGCATTCTTTTTCTCCTTCACTGTACTTTGCAGCTGACTCATTGGTTAGAAGTAGAACCTTTCCAGAGAAAGGAAATGTTTTTTCAGTCAAGGGTATTGAGCAGCTTTAAAATATAGTGTAGCAAAGGAAAGAAGCTGTAGTCTAGTTGGTCAGAACTAGTTGTTTATAAACAGATTGAAAGGCTGTGTAATAGGACTTCAAATCTCTACTCAGCAAGTCTTCAAGTTTCATAACCATTAAAGTCCATGGTTTGAGCATTTTTGATTGAAAAATAAATTATGGTGTTAAATCAGTACTAGTTTTCACAAGTTAAAAGTGTTTTAAAAGAAACCAAAATATTAGTACAAATTAATTATAGGTTTATACACTTTGAGCAGCTACCTTAAAGGTTATCAGTTGTTTAAGGTAAAATTTTCCCTTAACATTGAAAGTATCAGTGGCTTAAGGTAAAATATTTGAGATTCACATTTAACGTTTACAATAAATGTTTTTGTTCTTAAAATTGTCAAGAAGAAAAAAGCTGCTGGTGGTGATGAAATAGTACTAAAGATTTTCTGCTTTCAAACAGAATAGACAACTGGAGAGTTAATGTATGTGCTTGCTGGTTTGGGGAAATTTCACAGGAATGAAAAGTCAAGTAGACTTTGCATTAGTTTACAGGATCTAAAAAAAATAATCTTAGTAATTTTCCTCAAAGATAATGTACTAAATATTCTTTCTGAAGTCTGTGGCCTTGTAAAGGTATTGGTTCATATTAGGCACAGTTATGCATAAAGAAAGTAAAATATGGTAAACTTTTGTATTGTACTAGATATGAACTTTTATTGCTATCTTTTTAACTAATTTATGTATACTTTAAATGGTGTAGCATGTGGTTTTATTATAGTTGATTAAACTTTGTAATTTCTGTAACTGCCTGGATATCAGAGTCTACCCAGGAAATTAAGTATATTAACCACAGTTTCTGTAGGAACAGTGCTATTGCCAACTGAATGTTTCATTTATTTCATTCCAGTTTAGAGGAATGGGGTTAGATAATGCTCAGATTAGAAATACAAAGGCCAGTTGTCAAATCCTCTCATTTTATTGTTGAAGAAACTAAGTTGTAAACATCACAGAGCTAGTTAACTGGTGAGTAGCAGCCCTTGGTATTACAGCACAGGTCTCTGGATTGATTCTTAGCTCAGTGCTTTTCCTGTTTTTGTCAGGAAGATAACACTTAAGGAATTTTATTTAAGAACAGAACTGGATCTGAAGGCCTAGAATTGTTAGTCCATCTTCTGCTAATAACTGTGTTTGATTCTGCCCAAGCTGGTTGACCTCTTTGGGCTTCTGCTGATACACAGTAGTTCCCGTACTTTGGATATTGTGGCTCACTTAAAAGCGTTTTGTTGGCAGATTTCTGAATTTTTCAGCAGTGACATTTAAAACAAAGAAATAACTAAGATTTATTGTCACCATCGTTTTGTAAAACCCAAAGCACTTTTTTATATGTTAAGTGCAGTCCTGTAAATTGAATAAATTTAGATTTTTGTGTTTCGTTTTTGTTTTTGTTTTCTTTTTGATAATGGCTTGCTTAGCAAATGGATATCCTGATGAGGTTTTAGGAACATTTCATGTTGCTACAACTTTTCTCATTTTGACTTGAATCTGTGAACTCCATCATCAGGACACAGCTCTGTACTCCTCAACTCGGAGAGTTTATAATTCTGTCATTGGATATGAACAAAACTGCATTCACTCATTTATTAGAATGAATACCACTGAGTGCCTAGAAGCATTGATTTACCTGTGTAAAAGGCTTCCAGTGCTTTGTGTAAAATTGCGGACGCCCAACTGTAATCCTAGCATATCTTCTGTCTTCTCTGAAACTTCTGGTAAAAGAAATGAAGTGAATGATCTGTAGCAGCAAAGACTGGAGAGTTACTCATTCTGTAGTGTTTTAGTTTGAAATCATTATGGCTGGATGCATCTGTTAACAGTTTCTTCAACTAAAGTAGTGATAGTCGTTGTCAAGAATTTAGAAGGCAAAGATTCCCGAGTCTTAGCTACTATAAAGTTAACATAACTGACATAGAATTAAGCTCCAACATAAACAAAAGAGAAAAAATTAGGTCAAGTTAAACTATGATAGCAGAGACTAATACTGGATGTTGTGATTTTTCTTCATAGGATAAACCAGAATCATTGGAAAGCCAATGGAAATGTTTCAAAGTTCTTCTCTTTAATCACTTCTGTATTCAGCTACCTTTGATTTGCGGAACCTACTATTTTACAGAGTATTTCAATATTCCTTATGACTGGGAAAGAATGCCAAGATGGTATGTAGATAAAAGTTTGGCTTTCACACCCAATTGTGGCTTATTATTCAATTAAGTTATACTTAATGTTTACCTTTTTTCTTAATTTTAGTTAATGTTCTAAACTTTGGAAGTAAATAAATAGTAGAAAAGTAAACCATAGTAAAATCCTAAAATGTTTTCATGTTTACATCTTTTTAATATTTTATTGGAAGGTGAGCTTCTAGTATCAGAAGTTTCCATGACATCTTTTGTATGTTTATGTACATATAGAAGTGCGTATGCTGACAAAAAATGTATTGCATTGTAAATTTAAAATGAGTGAAAAATACGGGAATCATTTGTGAGATTTATAGAAATTGTGTTCATATAAACAAAAATGTGTATGTGCATATATATACATATATAAAAATGTGTGTGTGTATATATACCCATGTATATATACACACACACATACATATACTCATGTGTCACTTCACAGGGATACCTCCTAAGAAATGTATCTTTAGGCAAGTTGTGCAAACATTGTCATGAAATGGAATTGGTATAGTGGGCAATCTCTTTAACCTTATGTCAGATTATATCGTGTAGCTGGATCTAGTTGTTTTGAGAATTTATTTATGAATATATCCAATTAGGTCAAGCTGGTAAGTGTGTGTTTTGTTTTATGTAATGTCTCAAGCAGTGACTCTAACTAAAAGTCTGGACTGTTTAAGTAAAAATTATTTCTTACACATTATAACATTTTTATCCTAAAGGTATTTGCTTTTGGCAAGATGCCTTGGCTGTGCAGTCATTGAAGATACTTGGCACTATTTTCTGCATAGACTCTTACACCACAAGAGAATATACAAGTATATTCATAAAGTTCATCATGAATTTCAGGTATGTTACAATTATGTTTAATTCTTTTTTTTTAGTATATTTTATTGCGTTTTAGGTTTTGGGGTACATGTGAAGAACATGCAAGATTGTTGCATAGGTACATACATGGCAATATGGTTTGCTGCCTTCCTCCCCATCACCTATATCTGGCATTTCTCCCCATGTTATCCCTCCCCAACTCCCCACCCCCCACTGTCCCTCCCCTAGTTCCCCCCAACAGACCTGGGTGTGTGATGCTCCCCTCCCTGTGTCCTTGTGTTCTCATTGTTCAACACCCACCTGTGAGTGAGAACACACGGTGTTTGATTTTCTGTTCTTGTGTCAGTTTGCTGAGAATGATGTTCTCCAGATTCATCCATGTCCCTACAAAGGACACGAACTCATCGTTTTTGATGGCTGCATAATATTCCATGGTATATATGTGCCACATTTTCCCTGTCCAGTCTATTATCGATGGGCATTTGGGTTAGTTCCAAGTCTTTGCTATTGTAAACAGTGCTGCAGTGAACGTTCATTTGCATGTGTCCTTATAGTAGAACAATTTATGATCCGTTGGATATATACCCAGTAATGGGATTGCTGGATCAAATGGAATTTCTATGTCTAGGTCCTTGAGAAACTGCCACACTGTCCTCCACAGTGGTTGAACTAATTTACACTCCCACCAACAGTGTAAAAGTGTTCCTGTTTCTCCACATCCTATCCAGCATCTGTTGTCTCCAGATTTTTTAATGATGGCCATTCTAACTGGCATGAGATGGTATCTCAATGTAGTTTTGATTTGCATCTCTCTAATGACCAGTGATGATGAGCATTTTCTCATATGTTTCTTGGCCTCATGTATGTCTTCTTTTGTAAAGTGTCTGTTCATATCCTTCGCCCACTTTTGAATGTGCTTGTTTTATTCTTGTAAATCTGTTTTAGTTCTTTGTAGATTCTGGATATTAGCCCTTTGTCAGATGGGTAGATTGCAAAAATTTTTTCCCATTCTGTTCCTTGCTGATTCACTATAGAATTATGTTTAATTGGTGGGTGGGGAGCTGGGGAGGGATAGCATGGGGAGAAATGCCAGATGTGGGTGAAGGGGAGGAAGGCAGCAAATCTGCCTTGTGTTTACCTATGCAACTATCTTGCATGTTCTGCACATGTACCCCAAAACCTAAAATGCAATTTAAAAAAAAAGAATTATGTTTAATTCTTTCTGTTAGAGGCAAAATGTCTATTTTAATTGCCTGAGCATATTTCTAAAATTGTGGGTGACATTTTTATTTTCTTTTCCTTTGTCACGATTATTAAGAACAACACACATACAAACAAGCCAGTTCTATACGTTTTCTTTAGTATTTAAATTTTATGGTACATTGAAATCTGAAAGAAATATATTACATGAAAGTTTGGACTTCCATCCTTGTGGACAGAATGCTATACTGACACAGCTAGATTCTCACATTGCTAACTCCCACAAAAACAGTGACTTTTATTAGAACTGCTTTTTTTTTTTCCTTTTTTTATGAGATGGAGTTTTGCTCTTGTTGCCCAGGCTGGACTGCAATGGCATGATCTTGGCTCACTGCAACCTTTGTCTCCTGGATTCAAGCAATTCTCCTGCCTCAACCTCTCAAGTAGCTGGGAATACAGGCATGCGCCACCACTCTAATTTTGTATTTTTGGTAGAGACGGGACTTCATTATGTTGGGGTCAGGTCTCAAACTCACCTCAGCCTTCCAAAGTGTTGGGATTACAGGTGTGAGCCACCGTGCCCGGCTGTTAGAATTGCTTTGATTAAGCTTTATCAAACTGGCTATGTGAGTATGTTTTGCATTGATCATGATTACGTGGTATGCCAAATCAAGCATTTCTTTATTAGAAGAACAAATATAAATGCATAAATCAAAATTAAAATTCAAGTCAATTATTTAGTGCCTTTATCTTAAACCATCAAAGACAGTAAGATTTTTATACCCCTAGACCTTTTGATGTTTAGTAGGGGCAAAAAAGTATTTTTATTGAAAATTACAATTATTTATAAATGTATGGCTAGATAGATCATCACTACATAGAGAATCAATATAACTTTTTAAAGCTTCATGCATAAATAGATTATATGTATTAGTGAAGTTCTCCAGCAAAGCAGAATCATTAGTGTATATGTGCAGAGAAAGAGATTTATTTTAAGAAATTGGCTCATGCAGGTGTTGGGGCTTTCAGGTCTGAAATCTGTAAAGCAGACTACAGACTGGAAATTCAGGTGAGAATTTTTACAGCCTTGGGTCCAAATTCCACAGAGCAGCAAGTTGGAAACTCAGGCTGGGTTTCTGTATTGCAGTCTTGAGAATCCTTCTTCAGTAAACCTCAGCCTTTGTCCTGAAGGCCTTCAAGTGATTGGATGAAGCCCGCCCTTGTTATGAAGGATAATCCCCTTTACTTAGAGTCTACTGATTAAAAAGTTAACAACAGCTAAAAAATATCTTAACAACAACACCTAGACTGGTATTTAATCAAACAGTTGGGCATCATAGCCTTGCCAAGTTGACACATAAAATTAACCCCATCACAATAACTAAGAAATTAAGAATTTCCTATCTGTTTGTTTTAGGCTCCATTTGGAATGGAAGCTGAATATGCACATCCTTTGGAAACTCTAATTCTTGGAACTGGATTTTTCATTGGAATCGTGCTTTTGTGTGATCATGTAATTCTTCTTTGGGCATGGGTGACCATTCGTTTGATGGAAACTATTGATGTCCATAGGTGAGTATTGGTTTCTGTTCAGGTATAAAATATAATGAAATATCTTTATTTTCATGGTCATAAGATTATCATATTTCTAAGTAGACTAATAGGAGAAGTTAATATTATATTAAGAAAACACAATTTTTGGATAAAAGTTTAAATAATAGATGTTTTTACATTCTAGCCTATGCTGTTAATAATTTTTATAGTGATAATGTGTTATTTGGGCAAATATTTATTTAGGACCACCAATTTCTTTATTTTTCTGTGATAAACCTAAACCTAACTCATATTTGAAAAATAATCAAAGCATTCAGCCTTCATTGAATAAGACTATTTGTGGTCTCCACTATTCAGCACTGATAAAAGCACTTAATAGATGGAAGTACTGCTTGTAATATATATGTATAAATATTTCAAATGCATCCTTTCTATTGATTGGAAGCCATTTTGTGGTAAATTATTTATATTGAATGCCTTCTTAAATGCTTATCTTAATTGTTCATTATGTTTAAATTATATGTTCATTGTATTTTGACTTGGGACTTACTTCTGTACCCTTGAATGCAGAATATCAAATTGTAAGAATTGTTTTCAAAGCGTTAAAGTAGGAAAATTGATGCTTCTAGTCCTAGGCAGAGAATGTTCTTCTGTAGAAAAATTGTAGTTGATATTTCTTTCGTTTTTTTCTATCCGTTGTTTATTTCTGCCTTCCTTCCCCTAAGCCCCTCAAAAGAAGAGAGGGTTAGGGTGATTCAGACGAGTATAACTGGATATCTGATTGTAGATACATAGTTAGAAATAAAGGAGCATGCTCTAAATGTGACTCTTTTGAAGCTACTGTCTTCTCCCAACTATAGAAAAGATAGAAAAGCACACTAGTATTTTGATTAATTGTGGTCCCTTTGATTCCATCTTCTCATTGCCTAAAAAAGTAAACGAAGTTACTATCTAGGGATTCATTGGCCTGCTTTTTTTAATACTTGATACTAATTGTATGTGACTTTTCCTAAAAAACATATGTAAAATTTGGGGCTTTATTTATAACTATTATAGATTATGGTGAGAAAGCTTCCTCTGAAGCATAAAAGAGAATTAATTCTTAAAAATCTGTTTTAAAGATTCATTACTAAAACACCTCTCTTCTGTCATTTACACATTTTATCATAAAGTAAATGATTTTCATAGATCTTTTAAGGATTTTTTTTTCTTAGAGTGGTTTCTAGAATATGCACCATTTTCTGTGTTTGCCATTTGTGAACATCTTAGAAATAAAGTGGTCTAGGCAAAGTGGAATGTTATGTAGATTGGTTAATGTGAGCACATGACTATTAATAAAAATGACAACTATTTGAGATGTATTTATTCCTTAATAATCTTTATCATTTTTGTTTCAGTGGTTATTATATTCCTCTCAACCCTTTAAATTTCATCCCTTTCTATGCTGGTTCTCGGCATCATGATTTCCACCACATGAACTTCATCGGAAACTATGCTTCAACGTTTACATGGTGGGATAGAATTTTTGGAACAGACTCTCAGTATCATGCCTATAATGAAAAGAGGAAGAAGTTGGAGAAAAAGACTGAATAAATATCTCACGTAAACCTTCCTGAAAGATAAACATTTTCCTGAATTGAAACTAGTAGCTAACATTGCTTCTGGGGAGCAGAGATAAGCATGTCCTCTGGCTACTAAGTGATAAAAAGAACATTAACAACCTTTAATTACCTTCCTAGTGGGAACTTTTTCTACTTTACCTACAAGTTCTGTATATGTAGAAATGAATAAATATATATTTAAGTACAGTTTTCATGAGGAAGTTTTAAAGGCCGTATTCCTAAGCTTCTGAGAAGGTTTTGGGTACTAGAAGTATTAATCTATGGCTTTTCTCCCAGTAAAACCATAGGCCTGAAGTTGACATTGGTCTTTAAATCTTTTAGGTATGTACTGGTCATTTCAGAAAATTCTTCTTATTGATTGTGTTGGCCTTATATTTCACTTCTTTTTTTTGAGATGAAGCTTCACTCTTACCCAGGCTGGAGTGCAGTGGCACAATCTCAGCTCACTGCAACCTCTGCCTCTCGGTTTAGGCATTTCTGTCTCAGCCTCCTGAGTAGCTGGGACTACAGGCACATACCACCATGCCCAGCTAATTTTGTATTTTTGTAGAGATGGGATTTCACCATGTTTGACAAGCGGGTCTTGAACTCCTGACCTCAAGTGATCTGCCCACCTTGGCCTCCCAAAGCGCTGGAATTACAGATAGAAGCCACTGTGCCCGGCCTTTTTAACTTTAAACATTTTTTAGAATTTGCCTAAAGATCAAAATGTCATGGATTGAACCACATCGATTGATAGCAGTTTGTGACTGAAGCTTCCAAATCAGGAAAAGCCAACACCAAGAACTTCCATCCTAAATTGGAGCTAACCAGTTTGGGCTGATTGTGTCTTTGAAGAGTCCTTGATTGCAGTGCAGTACTGGCATTTCTGAATTGATGTAAGGGGACTATTTTAGTAAGGTTTTTCAGGTTACTTGAATTTTTTAAAAAATTGAGGAGCTTTATTTCTGGACTATTTACCCTTTCATTTTTGTATATCAAATTTCCAGTGTCATTAAAAACTGTATCTTGAAACTTTGTGAACTGATTAGCTGTATTTGCACTTTGAGCTCTTGAAATAAATGTGATTTCTGTCCATCTGGTTTCCAGTTTTAAACATTGATTGTCACCTTAAAAGTGAAAGTACAGAAATAATTAAATTACTGAGTTTTACAATAAAAGGATTGGTTTCTATTTTTTTTTTTAAGTGCTTCCTTTGTGAACTGTTTCCTGGCTATTTGAACATGAATTTATCAGGCTTAACTATTGTGGGAAATTCTCTTGACCTAGTAAAGTGACACATATTGAAGCAGCTCTTTGCCCTGCTTAGATAATGTTTGTTTTCTCTACAGTTGAAGAACAGCTAAACTTTTCAGGGTTGATATAATCTCAAGTATTTAGGTTATAACTCATCAAGAGTTGGTAATTCTTAGTATATGGTGGTAATTATTTTTGTTTTTTTAAATTGTGGACTCATTTTCTGGTAACTTACTTTTTTTTTTCTTTTTTTGAAAACTTATCTAGTAAAAATGTCCAGATAAGGGATATATATACTTAAAACTGAGAATGTTTTGTAGGTCATGCTTTATGCTGTGTATGTGGTTCATATTCCCACTGTGTGTTTGTGTGTGTGTGTGTGTGTGTGTATTTGTACATTTGTTATAACCTTCAGGCAACAAATTTGGGGCTGGCTGCAATTAAAATTGTGCTGTTTGCTACAAATAGAGCTACCATATGATCCAGAAATCCCACTACTGGGCATTTATCCAAACGAAGTGAAATCAGTATATGGACAAGACATCTGCACCCTCAAGTTTCTTGTAGCACTTCACAATAGCCAGGATATGGAATCGATGTAGGTGTCCACAACAGATGAATGGATAAAGAAAATGTGGCATATATACACACAATGGAAAACTTTTCAGCTATAAAAAAGAAACTAATTTGCGGCAACATGGAAGGAACTGGAGGACGTGGTATTAAGTGAAACAAACCAGGAACGAAGTTAAATACTGCATGCATGTTCTCACTCGTGGAAGCAAAAGAGAGTTGATCTTAGGACTGAAAAGTAGACCAGCGGACACTTGAGGCTGGGGAAGAGAGGGAGGACAGGGATAGGGACAGATTTGTTAAAAGAATATAAGTTAGAAGGGAGAGATACTAATGTCCTATACCACTGTAGGATGACTATTGGTAGAAGGAGGATATTGACTGTTCCCAACACAAATGATAAATGTCTGAGATGATGGATATGTGAATCATACGTTATGTGCATTGAAACATTACTGTGTACCCCACAAATATGTACAACTGTATGTCAATTAAGAGTGTGCTGGACCGGTCACAGTGGCTCACACCTGTAATCCCAGCACTTTGGGAGGCCGAGGTGGGCAGATCACAAGGTCAAGAGATGGAGACCATCCTGGCCAATGTGGTGAAACCTCATCTCTACTAAAAAATACAAAAATTAGCTGGGTGCGGTGGTGGGTACCTGTAACCCCAGCTACCCAGGAGGCTGAAGCCAGGGAATCACTTGAACCAGGAGGCAGAAGTTGCAATGAGCTTGAGATCATGCCACTGCACTCCAGTCTGGTGACAGAGTAAGACTCCATCTCAAAAAAAAAAAACAGGAGTGTGCTATCACTTTGGGAGGTTGCGGCAGGTGGATCACCTGAAGTCAGGAGTTTGAGGCCAGCCTGACCAAAATGGTGAGACCACACCTCTACTAAAACACAAAAAATTAGCTGGGCATCCTGGCAGGCACCTGTAATCCCAGCTACTCGGGAGGCTGAGACAGGAGAATCTCTTGAACCAGGAAACAGCATTGCAGTGACCCGAGGTTGCACCATTGCCCTCCAGCCTGAGCAAAACTCCATCTCAAAAAAAAAAAGTGTGCTGTTTAGCCATACCTATAAGAATCATTTTATCTTCTACCTTTTACTCCCTAATACTCATGGAATGCACAGCATCTGAATTAGCAATAAAAGGTGACTCCCTTTCAGCACTCAGGGAGAGAGTGACACCTGCTGCTGGAAGCTGTGCTAAACTTTTTAAAACAAGCTGGTACCTTCCAACTCATGCTTCATACTGCACGTTTATCAAGCACTTTCTTTGTGTCATGAATTGTGCTATGTTTACAGTGCTGTGACTTTAATGCATGTTCTCATTGAATTTCTGAGGTAGATGCTCCTTTCTCTATTTGATAGATGAGAGAAATGTCTGAGAGGTTCAGATCACAGGATTTGCCTTTTCACTTTTGAAGCTGGACTTGCAGTTACTATGTTCACTATACTGGAGTGTTGCATCTTCTATAAGGCTTTTAGGGAATTACTTTTAAAAATGATATTTGAAGAGAAATAAGATTCTAAACCAGTAGTCATTCAGGAAGTGATAAGACACATACTCACAAGTATATTGGTATGAAGTAGACAGATTTTAAGCTGACTTACCAGCCAAATCTTTCTTTTAAAATTATCTGAATTAAGCTTCTAACTACACTGGCATTTGATGAGGCAAAAATAAAATAAGTATGAAGACTAGAATACAAAACAGAGTACATAACTCTGACTCTAGCAAATAATTGACAACAGATTTTTTTTTTAAAGACAGGGTCTTGCTCTGTTGCCCACTGGAGTGCAGTGGTGCCATATTGGCTCACTGCAGCCTCCACCTCCAAGTGATCCTCCCATCTCAACCTCCTGAGTAGCTAGGACCAGAAGTGTGTGCCACCATGTGTAGCTAGTTTATTTTTTTGTAGGAACAGGGTCTCACTATGTTGCCCAGGCTGGTCTTGAAGTCCTGGCTCAAGCAATCCTCCCACCTCAGCCTCCCAATAGTGGTGCCAGGATTATAGGCGTGAGCCACCACACCCAGCTGACAAGAGATGCTCTTTGTTTCTTGGATTGTCTATTTAGATTTTACTAATTGATTGAAAGTTTAGTTAATGTTATAATTAAAAAGTTAGTTGTAGAGTTTGATCAGAATTCTAATGGTATAATTAACTAGTATTTTGCTCTTTGCTACATATTTAGCTAAAGACATTTAGCCCTTTGGGCAAGATTGGTTCTGTGGAGACTCTTACCCCAACTCCTAATTCTCATGCTCTTATGTAAAACCTAGTAGGGCTTTTAACTTCCACATTTAAGTTCTGTATTTCCACAGAGAGAGAAGGTATCTAAGCTCTTCACGAAGAGTTAGCACCTTGCCTCTGAAGGTTTAGCTCCTAATCCATTCTTGCAAAAGAGTAGAATTTTTCAGCCAATGTTGGAAAGAGTACCATGCCATTAGTATAATGACGGCTTCTCAAGTGACTGTAAATGCTGACATTCTTACATGAAATCACCAGTGGGCCATGGTAAAATGTCCTTAGAACTTATGCTTAGAGGTCTGTTGAGTTCTAAAAGTCTAAAGATAAAGGACATGAATGGCTAGAATTTAAGATATGAAATGTTACTTTCGAACTATTCAGAAAATAAGTAATTCAACTCAGGGAACACATGCGGCTCATTGTGCATTCACAAAAGGAAAGGGACGTGACTGAATGAAAGCTTGGGATAACCCACCTACAGGCTGCGCATAGGAGGCCGAAACCAGCACTGCAGGGATAGTGACAGGAGAGACTGCGTGTATGCCCTGCCGGCGAGTCTTGCTCCCCTGTGTTATGAAACTCCTCTGCTCCTGGTGATTGCTTCACTTCCTGGAAAGCCTTTTCTCCTCGTCTCCCTGGAGAGCTATTTCCTAATCTATGAAATGAGAATAATAATACTTCATAAGGGGTTTGTGAGAATTCAGTAAGATGCACCATGTGAAGTATGCAATGCGTGTAAATAAACGTTAGCTATTTTTGTTCAATTCCCTACCTTTATTTAAACATCCAGTTCGAGACTCACCACACCACTCCATCAGCCCCACTCTTCTTTCTGAGGTCTTCTTTCTGCTTCAGATAAGAGAAATCTCTCCCACTCTCCTCAGTCAGAGTTCTGTAACACTCATCTCTACCACCTCTCAGCATACATCACCTTGTATTTTCTGCTCCAGCCAGAGACTGGAAGATTTTTTTTTTTAAGCAACTGAACCCAACCCAGAGAAAACTGCTTACAAAGTTTGAAAAGATTGACTTGCTGCCTGATCATTTAAAATGGTTTTACAGGCACATTTGCAAATTGTATTGCTACCTCTTTTTAGCCAAAGGTTTCTCTTTTGCACTGTGATTGTTCATTTTTCTGCACTTTTGCTCATGCGTAACCCTCAGCCAGGGAAGGTTATTAATATGGTCAAAGGTACGTAGGTGGTTCATGGCGAAGCTGACTGCAAAGCCGAGATCTTCCCACTCTGTGTGTATTTTCTCCCTTGTATCCTTTATACACCTGGCACCTTGCCTTGAACCTGAAAGGAGTTCAGTAAATATCTGTCAATTAAAACAAAGAGAGGACATTGTAATAGCATCTTCATATAGGAGCGGCAATTAAGCTGCCATTTTAATAATCAGTTCAGAAGGTTCTTAGTAATTAACAGCAAATGATGGGGCAGGAGGGGACAAGGAAAGAGGAGGGTTCTTGAAATACAAGGCAGAGCCAGAACCAGCTGTGGGGGTTGCTGGGTTCAGTTGAAGTCTGGCTACATTCTAGTGCTTTGGCATCTTAAACTTTGATTTCACTGGTGCACGTACTTGTATGCTATGCAGCTTGATATGCTCTTTGAGGGAACAAATTATATATAAGAGCACATTCCTGTCCATTTAAGTCCATGTCCAGCTAATAAAGAAACTTTAGAACTATTTAGTCTGTTGGCAGATTTCAGTCAGACTTCTTGTATTCCCATGAAGGTTCTCTGAGCTTTCTTTTGCTATAAAATAATTTATCTGATAATAATAGAATATCACGATGGTATAGAGGAAGGAGAATGAGGAATTGGTCACTGCCCAGGAATAGGTAGTATACCATTAGCATATTAGAAGGGGAGGCTGAGCTACCTAATTCTTGCATTTCTGTGTCATAGGAAAATGATCTTCAAGTAGGAAAAGGAAACAAAATAGCTCTGTTCAAAGGGAACCATATCCCAAAGAGAGGAGGAAATTCTTTACAAATTGTTTTATATCTTTAAATAAACTTTTAAGTCTCCAAGGTCAGATAACTTGCACTCCAGGTGACAGAAAGAATTTGCAAACGTGATTGTAAAACCATTTTAGATGATCA